TATGAAATGTTCCGCCATTTTGCAGTAGGTGAAGATATTGAATTTATATTCTAGGGTTGTGGAGTATTTGTTAGGAGCTTCAAATGGATGTATCACAAGACTCTCTTTTTCATTCGATTTTTTTTCAGATGACACCCAGTAGACAACTTGAAAATTTCATTTGTCAATTTCACTACAATATATAGTATCATGCATCAATTTCATCACCCCAAGTTTCATTTTATTTTCAGTCGACCCGTTCAAAAAATAGAAGGAGGGAGGAAATTAAAGAAAATCACTGTATATAGAATCATATCCGTATTGTGAATTGTATAAAAACATATAAATAAACAAAAACATCTGTTTCGAGAATCCAAATTATTGATAAATAATGTATATTATATGTTATGGAGTTATAGTGTACCAAGCAAATATGACCTCAAATTAAATTCAAATTTTTTAGCTCAATTTGTATTTTTTAAGTCGTTATGTCATGAGTTATATAAAATCATTCCAATATGGAATATTGATTGTTTGCCAAAATTTGATTTATAATTATTTGCCATCAAAAAATTCTTGTTCTATGGGTGAGTATGAATTGTATATAACCTCTATTGAATTCCGAATTTGGTATTGTCAATTCCTTCCTGAATGAATAAAGACGCAGATCTTGATAGTTCTCATGATAATATGAGGTTCAACTCATCAATTTTAGATACGAATATGGATTCCTACTAGGTTCTATTTGAGAATCTTGATCGATAATTGATATTATTATTCTATTTTTTGACTCGATTATTGATCCCAAACGTGTTATATTCGTATTTTTCCAAAGCGATATCGAATATTGCAAACTCTAATAGCACACAACGTCCTAGGGACGTCCCTATTTGATACAATTCACGTCCGAATGTCCCGAACCAAAAATAAATGTCTTTGGGACGTCCCATCCCGTACATCTTATGCAATGTCCGAGCAAGGACGTCCACGGAATGTCCCAGCTGGTACAACATTTCGAATGTCCATGCAAGGACGTCCTTGGCATGTCCCTGATGGAAAATGATTTCAAACGTTCCTTTAGGGGCATCCATCGGATGTCCCGAGTAGTACATATTCTGGCATAACTTCAGATCTGTTATAATGTCTCTTCTAGACTACCATGAAATGTCCCTAATTATACATTCCTTCAAATGTCTCTGCACAGACGCCCTTTATATTTCCAGGATCGTATAACAATCGAAATGTCCCTTATGGACATCCTTCGACTCTCCCTTAGGGATATCCGTCGGATGTTCCAATTGGTACATGAACCGTACTCTTCAATTATCCTAGAAATAACGTCCTATGGACGTCCCAGTCGGTACTTCCGATATAATGTCCCTGCGGGGACGTTTAGTTACACCTCGCCGACGAATGATTGCTCGTAGGCTATAAGTACTCCTCGTCAATGTTCCTCACGTAAGTCCAGACATCCGTGGAAAAGTCTTTGGGGACCTTCTACGGACCATCAACTCAACTGAATGTCCTAATCAGCTATGCAAGATCTGGTCCTAGAGGGACCCAGAAAATTTCAAATTCAAGAATAATTCGTACGTCCCTGGGACATCCTATGGACATCCAAATGATATCCCTCAGCGTAGCTGATAGGTTGTCCTATGAATGTCCTATGGATTTCCTCTGTATTGCTTGATGAGTAATACTGTAGGATTTAGGTATTCGATAGTTGTCCCAGAGACATCTCTCAAGGACGTCCCTAGTTGATCCTCAAGTGAGACAAGTGCGTCCCACAGACGTCCAATGGACGTCCACGGTACCAAATTCGAACGTCCCATGGACGTCCTGAATGTCCCGACACGACGACCTAAGGATATCCATGGGTCATAAGTGTGTTATTAGGGAAGGACATCGCACTTTTTATATGGAAAATTGGCCTCCTGTCGACTTGGCTGATATTTTGATATGTTATAGTCCGCAAGGCAGTCTGAACAAAATGCCACAATACCATACTGATGTGAGTCATAGTGAGAAGTTTTCTTAAATACATTGTTGCTGTTGGTCAAAAATCAAACAGTGTGTTTCTGCAATTATAAGTGAGATGAAAGATTATACTAATTGTTGATTCAATGAAGAAAGGATACTGTTAAGTGTCGCATTTCAATTACGAAACAGTTTTCACATATTATATGTTCACCCTGTGAACAAAGAGGAGATACACAACTAACTACAATACTTATCGTATAACCTTATATCGTAATTGATATATATTACAAAAAAAAATGCAGCCAATAATAAACCTAAAACTTGGGCGGTGTTTATAACGATGATGGTGATTGATTGAAGAATAGAAACGAATTAGATGAGAAAGAAGATGAGGAAGGAAAACCAAAATCACTGAAGAACATCACATCTTTGTACAGAATTTGATAGAAATAAATAATTGCGGTAGTTGTGTAGCTGATGATCAGAAATACATTCCTGATGCTTTCAAATTTTCTCCCATTTTGAAATTGGTTGGTCTCAATTCTAATTCGTTTATTTCCGATTTGAATGTGTTGAATCCATGCTGAATCATTTTCTCCCAGTTCGAAGATGTTTATTTCCATTTTGAAAATAACTAGTCTAAATTTGGAGTTGGAAAGGTATATGTTCACTCAACTATGGAAAATACTAACCGTCAAGTCAATGTTTGTCATGGTTGAGTTCAAATGTTAATCTTAATTTTTATTTTACTAAACTATAATTATTAATTGATATTTTTCGATACAAACAAGAATTTTTTGAACAACATGAAGGTACAGCTATGGGAAATTGTTTATCGCCTTTCCTGGCTGAACTGTTCATGAATCGATTTGAAGCGAATGCAAAAGAAAAACTCGAGTATTTCCCTAGGGTTTGGATTATATATGTCGATGATATTTTCGCAATTTTTAATACAAAAACCACAGATATAGATAACTTGATTTCAAAATTGAATAACTGCTTTCCCTCTATCAAATTCACTTGTGAATGCGAAAATCATGGCAAATTACCTTTCTCAGATGTACTTGTGATCAAAAATAGCGAAAACAACTTAAAATTTGATGTCTTTAGAAGAGAAACTTACACATTTAGATACATACCTAATGACTCCAATCACTGTTTTCAGCACAAAATGGCGAGTTTAAATTTTTTAGTACACAGATTGATTTCATTTCTTTTGAGCAAAGAAAGATTCAATGCTGAAAGAAGTGTTGTTTATAAAGTGGCTGGCGTCAATGGGTATGATATCAAAATAGTAGATAAATTAATACGAAGACATAAATTTAAGTTAACACTTCGATATTCTACGACTTTTCAAGCGGATAAAAAGAATTCTAGAAGAATCCCAATCCCGTTCAATCCCAAGTATACGAAGGGACTTGATAAGGTTTTCAAAGACTTAGGTTTTGAAACCGTCTATCAGTCTGGGTCAAAATTAGGCAATTTATTAGGCAATCCGAAAGATGAAGTGGACACATTTGAAAAGTCGGGAATATACGAAATAAGTTGTAATGATTGTGATAAAAGATATATTGGCCGCACCAGGCGACCCATAAAAACAAGGTTCAAAGAACACATAGCCCATTTGAAATATGGCAGGTTAGATAAATCTATAGTGTAGCCGAACATATGTTCAATCACAATCATAACACACATATTACTAACCTCAAATTAGTTAAGCAAGTTGATAACATTAGAAAACTAGACGCATATGAAAGCTTAGAGATATTTAAGAATAGTAATAGAGTGATGAATAAGGATAATTGACCTATTCCATATAGCCCTCTATATAGTTTAGTAAAATAAAAATTAAGATTAACATGAACTCAATTGTGACAAACATCAACTTGACGGTAAGTATTTTTCACAGTTGGGTGAACATATACCTAGTATATGAGCAGCACACTAAAATAGGATATTTAGTTTTAATCTTCTCCTGAAGATGCTAACATATTTAGCGAAACACGTGTCGAAGCGTTAAAAAATCGGTTTGGTTAGTGGTAAAACAGTGTAGTGTATTATCGTGCCAAATGTTCTAGTCTTCGATATATTGGAAAGGTATAGTCATCACATCAGTTTTGTATATGGGCATCTTGTTCATCAGAATGCCTTGGCCTATAACATATCAAAAATTCACCCATTTCGACAGGAGGCCAGTTTCCCTTATAAACCGTGCGGCATCCTGTGGGTAATTTAGAAAAAATAAATACACTTCACGAATTTGTTTATATAGTTATACATGTTCATCATACTGGGCGAGGATAGCAAATGATAATATACTCAAGTCAAATTTTGGCAAACATTCGATATTCCATAGTAGGGGTGTTCTGTTGAATATGCCAAGAAATGATTATACAGGGTATTCCTTAATGATATGCTGATATTCAAGGGGCTGATTCTTCGACCCATTTCGAGAATGAAACTTCACATGAACATATGTCGTAAACGTCCTAACTTTCGAGATACGGGTCAATGTTGGAAATATGGATAGATTATTTTCATTGTCCACCCTGCATATTATCGTGATGCAAAAATTCAGATTTGAGGAAATTGAACGAAGATGTTGGTGGGCTGCAATATTTTTTCAAACATTTGGCCAAATATTATCAGTATCAGACTTTCATACATATAGAAACTGTACTTTTGTAACGACAGATTGAACATTATTTGACAGGATCAGTAATGGTGATAATAATTATTGGGAGAGAAAAAGAAAATTATAGGATCTTATCCCCTTTCTTATATCGTTAACGGCTCCAAACTGATTATATCGTTAATTAATTGCGGAAATCATATAAATTATATAATAAGTACTCAATTCGAAAAGTTTCATGCTCTGTATTGTGTAAGTGTTCTTCCAGACCAATGATAATGGAACATGCAACATGACATTTTTCATCTTGACTATGCCAATCTACTTTGAGAATGATTATTCTGGAGCACCTCGTATTTGGTCCATATTATATGTTAGGATATTATTCAGGTAATCATTTCTGTTTCAGGCAAATGATTTTTGAGGCTTTGGATCTGATGGATAGCCGACTATAATTTTGTGTTCAAATCTACAACTGCCAATAGTATCATCATCACTCCAAATAATATATATATATTTGAGTGGGGTTTCATTCTATTTTTCATACTTTTTGTTTGTAACAAGTATTTCGATACTGAAATCAGCTGAATGGTTTGATAGTGAATGAAATTTGCTATGTTCACCATATGGTTTTCTATATAGTTTCATTTCATTTTCAATTAAAATTTTTATTGTTCAGATTGGACACATGTTTTTTAAGCAAGTAGATATACATTAGTGAAAGCTAGAAAATGATTGGAAAATATTTGTCATCGTATTTAGTATCGAATAAATATTGTGAATCAAACTCAGAAGCATGCAGATCTTTTTTTTCCTCTCCATACATATGCTGTTATGTTTGAACATCTCTGGATTTCAATGTACTTATTGTAGTGAGCATTTTCCTACAAAATCTCTTTCCTCTTCTCTTTATCCACCATTTGTCAGGTTAGATTATGACTGATTTATTTTTCCGATTCTTCAGCACTTTATCCCCTTATATTTATGAAGTAAAAATAATAATTATGTTTTCAATGAACAGAAAAATCAGATGAGTCGCCCCAAAATATCAATTGGTTTGAAAATTTAACCATTAGAGAGCCTAACAAAAAATTCGATCGACTGTCAGTATACACATTGTACTCAAAAATGTTCGATGAAGAGAAATAAATATCGATTCATCGAGAAAAAATTACTCGATCCGGTTGTATAGTTATTAAGTTGTCTTCCAGGATTGTTGTCATATGATGAAAAATTAAATATTTACTGACATCCAATTTCATTTCCCAGTTCGTTCAGATAGCAATTCATAGATTTTTGAAAAAAAATCGGAGAAAAACCCTTGGAATCAATGCATTCAGAAAACTAGGCGAATTATTACAGATGCGTACGTCATATAAATTCATGGAGGTTATTACTCGCCAAAATGGTAATTTTGAACTTCCCATTCCCTCTACCAACATGATCAAGAACCTATCAATGTATAATGCAGTAAAGATATATAATATCACACCTATTCCATGAAGCATTAGAAACATATAAGGGTATAAATGATTTAGATCATCTGTGAAGAATATTCTCCTAGATCTAAACTGGTCAACATTGATAACGTCGTGGTCCAAAATATAGCCTGAATTTAAAGTTGAATAACTCACGAATTTCCTTACCAATAATTTGAAATCGGTTTCCACCGATGATTAGCCTAATCTCTTTTGTAATTTCAGATAACATTGCTACAGGGTGATAATTGAATAGGTGTAAAATTGCATCGTGGTCGTCACCTTAACTTCTGAACAGATAATTTTTTCCATTCTTTTTCTCACCTCCCAGATAGCACACACTCGCCTAAGGTCATCCTCGATGTGTCGCCGAACGCCTGGAGAGGACGTTCTATTTTCTACAACCTAAGAACATCATCAGGCGTGAATTTAGCGCTGTAATTGTCCTAAATGAGTTCTTTCAGTGACAGCCTGAGGATGTAAAGAATTTCGTGCCTACGGACGTCTTCAGATGACATTCCATGGAATAACGTGTCATCGAAGACAAAGGGAAGAAGAAGAAGAACTAGAATTGAGGTTATGTCTCATGATAGTCATGATTTGTTCAAGATACATCATAATATATTAATGATTATATCAAAATTATTAGAGTATTCATTGAATACCTTCATCAAATTTCTATTTCACAAAATGATTGCGAGAAGAACTTATTGCACAGAATTAAAAGATAACAATAACAAAAGGATGATAATCTCTGTTGATAACATTTCTCTCAGGTAGCAAGAAACAATGGTGAGTAAATACTAAATAGAATCATTGATAGTACCGGACATGAAATATTAATACATTCATATACATTATTTATTGTTTCAGGAGGTTATTGAGAACACAAACTTGATGATATCATCATAGCAAACATGTTTTATTTCGAGATAGCTTTGCTTCTTCGGAATCTATAAAATATTGTATGGAAGCTTGAACTTTCAGTATGAATTCAATAAAGGTAGGTACCTACCTGAATCAAATCATTGATATAGTAGGTACTGGACATGAAATGTTAATAGGTTAATTATTTGTTTCAGATGAAGTTATTGAGAACACAAGATTGATGATGTCATCAGAGCAGAGATGTTTCATTCCAAGATATTTTGGCTTCTTCGAAATCTATGTGAGATTGCATATTTATGCATGTTTGTACTTTCAGTATATTCAATAAAGGTAGGTACCTAAATCAAATCATTGATATAGTAGGAACTGGAACATGAAATATTAATAGGTACATTATTTGTTTCAGGAGGTTATTGATAACACAAAATGATGATATCATCAGAGCAGAGATATTTTATTCCAAGATATTTTGGCTTCTTTGGAAATTATGAAAGATTGTACATATGCAGACTTGAACTTTCAGTAGATTCAATTGGTTGGTACCTATAACTACATAAATCATATCATTGATAGTAAGTACTGGACATGAAATATTAATACATTGTTTGTTTCAGAAGGTTATGTAAAACACAAACCTGATGATATTTTCATTCCAAGATAGTTTTGCTTCTTCAGAAGCTATAAAATATTGCATGAAGGCTTCAACTTCCAGTTGATTATTCTGCATCAGGAATGTCCAGAGTTCAGAAATCAAAAACAACATGGAGAAATATAACTATCAATAGGCAATAACTTCTAGTAATGCTCAACAAGAAGCTGAAATACATTTCTTCGGAAAGGAAATTGAAATTTTTTAGAATAAGTTATAAATAATAGAATGTAAGTTTTTCATTTGGTTTTTCATTTGAACCTATTATGAATAGAGGGAAATTTTGCAAATATCATGAGATCCATATTATTTTGAAGAAATTATCATTTGCATAATACAAGGTGAGTCAATAGTGTGTTATCCTTGTATATTAGCCAAACCATCAGATGAATAGAGAAAATTCAAGTACAACAGTAAAAGGGTTTCATGAGAACTTTCACATTGAATTGTTTTCATATATATCTGTAGGATGTTCGAATTCCAAGATATATTGACTGATGAATGTTTTTTTCCAAATGGGACACCCTGTATACTATTGCATTTTTAGGTTCTCCCTGAAGAGCTGATTCCATCAATGTATCACACTTGGGGTCTAGCGGGAATGATTACAGAAATATAGGGTGTTCAAAAACAAGATTTTTCAATTTTAGGATTTTTTTTTTCGATTTACTGACATTCAATGGGAACAAATAGAAGGTCATGGGTTAACATTCAGAATACTGATCAGCTTATTGTATCTGTCCCAAATAAATATCAGTAGATAGCTAATCAAAAGTTATGACAGGAACATGTGAGCCGTTTTGACCATTAATGAATAGTTTCCACACAAAAAATCCTACATTTGAAGAATCTCAATTGTCAACACCCTATATCTCTGTAATAATTCCCACTAGACACCAAGTGTGATGCATTGATGGAATCAACTCTTCAGGGAAAACTCAAAAATGCAATAATATACAAGGTGTTCCATTGAAAAAAACCAATCATCAACCGATATCTTGGAATTCGAACACCCTATAGATATGAAAACAACTTCAGGTGATTGTTCTTATGAAACCCTCTATTACTGTTGTACTTGAATTTTTATTTTATATATCTGACGGTTTGGCTAATATCGGAGGAGAACACACTATAGTGACTCATTCTGTATACGAATAATATTCTCCCATAAATCTTGAACCTCCTTGAAACATCATCAAAAACCGCCTCAAGTTGTTACCATGATGTCCTGAGGTTGTCTCAAAAGATTTTATAGGGATGTTCTGAGACGTTATTAGTATGTAGAGAATGGTAACAGGAGGACGTCTTGAGAATGTCCTTAGGCTCGCTCTCGACGTCCTGAGGACATTATTGTGAACGCCTCAGAAAGGCCTCAAAAGGAATTTGTGCTATCTGGGCTGTATCCTCTTGATTGATGCTTTCTCTCGAAACGTTTTTGAAATGTTCAAATTCAGAGCTTTGATAATCGTGTTATGAATATTCATTCAAAATGATGAATTTTTTCGACGATTAATTGAATGAAATTGGAAGTTGGAATTCTTTTTCGAAGAATCAACGTTGTATGTATTATAGTGAAATATGTGATTGTGTTCGTACACAGAAAATTCTGAAGAAGTCTATACAAAGTGATACAAGAAATACTGAATAATGGAATGGAGAATATAACGAAGTCTTCGTAGATGAAACAAATTTTTTTCTGTGTTACAAGTGGTATAATGAAGTGTTACTTCGTCATGAGGATGTCTGTTGTCTGACCTCTAAATGGTTTTCTAATTTCTCGGATCGAAGGTCATATAATAAAGGTATATACGCATTTTCAATCAAAATGATGCATTTTCGTCAAGATAAATTACGATTGTAGTTCCAGAAGTATGAAATTTATATTATATTCTTGACGATGGATATACAATAGGTGCGATAAAAAATATGTCCCTGGAAAGAAGAAGAATGTGTTTAAACGTGATGAAAAAAGCTATCTTCCGAAAAAGGAACATAGTGTCGGTCATTGTCGAAAATTGTGAAATTTATAAATACAGTAACTTTTCATGAGGTTTATACGAGAAAATATGAAAGAGACTGCAAAATTGACATAGATTCGATTAAATGTTTTTCATACTAATCAGTAGAAGAACAACTACAGAACCTATAATATTTGCTCATATTGGTTATTAATTATTATAGAAAAACAAAAAATATTATTTTTACAATAATTGACACAAGGAAGCAAATATTTTCTGGATGTTAATTAATATTATACTCCTTGCAATTGGCCACTTGCACTGTTGTGAAAAGAGAATTGAATGTTATAATCGATCTTGATATTTCAAAGAGATAAGGTAAGAAGATGTAAACCATCTAAATTGAGATGTATGAAGGCACAATTTCCAAATCCGAATCTTGAAGGTTCGTGAATTTTCCATTTGAGATGAGAAATGTGCAAGTTCGTAACAGATTTTATATCAAAATTCAAAATGTATACTGTTTACTCAACTATACCTACATGTGTTTCTTGTCCTAGATCCAGAATTCACTATCAGCAATATCTCATCCATTAAAGTTGTCAATCTAGAGCATGTGAACAGTGATCAGGCGGGAGTTTGATACGAAATATTATTCGATTAAAACAATAAGTACATGTAAGATTGTTTGAGGAAACAGATACAACAGTTACTAGCATTAGTCCCAATGTGGAACTGCCAAACATTGATATTCCTAAATTCAGCGGGAATTCACGAGGATGGCCAGCATTTAGATGTACATGAATCATTAATCCATAATA